TTTACCATGACTCCAGATTGCCCCAGAAAGCAGGGGATGGAGCAAGATCAGAGGCCACAGGAAAAGACCACCTTGCATCCTGTCATTCTTTGGATCCAATGAGCCAAATTGTTGATCCCAAGGACCAGGCATGTCTGGGTGTACATCTGCCTCCTCTCTCTCTGCCCCCAGTGCTGACCGGGAGTCTTGGTGCTGAGCTGTGTGGTAGGATTGTGCCTTGTGGTCAGGCAGCGGGGAGGGGGCAGCCTAGGGACAGGAAATAGCTGGGTTTGGGGAAGTCCATGTGGCCAGCCAAGTCAGTGGGCTGTGGTCGCCTGGGCAGTTCGTGTAGGGGCCTCTCAATGCTCTACTTGAGGCTCAGACAGGGCCTCTTTGATGGGGAATGGGGACCCCGGGGGTTGCCTGAGTGGGAGGCCAGAAGGAGGCCAGCTGGGAAAGGGGCTGTTGTAGGGCCGGCAAGATGGTTGTGACTAGAACGTGCAGAATCTTGCCGGGTCGTGGAGCAGGAAAGCATAGGTTTCTTGGGAACTATGACAGTGGCAGAATGTTCCCCCAATTGCCTGGGCCCTTTGATGTTCTAGCTCCGCAAACATATTGGGGGACCAGACACAGGCAGGCTCCAACCTTGTCCATGACCCACATGTGGTGTCAGGCTGGTGCCTACCCTACCCTGGACCCCAAGGGTGACTGCTGCACAGCGCCTGTATGCAGACTCAGGGGGTAGAGAAGTGTGTGCTTCTGTGGACGTGTGGGTGGATGTTAGGTGAGAGTGTCTCCCAGGTAGAAGGCGATTCCATACATTAGCGGAACATAGTGCTCACTGCTGGCTTCCCTGCACACCCCCTGCCTCATCTAGCACTTGGCTTCCAGCTGATGTGACCCCTCACAGGACCCAAGATCATGTGACTTCCCCTATGGCTCTTCATCCCGCAGAGGCAGTGTTCTAGCTACTGACATGGCAGGGTATCCGTCCCTTTTCTTTTGTAGGTCCTGTATGTTAAATAGCTCTGCAAGTGAGTGGGACTTGCTCTGTGACAGTTGACTAGCTGCTCCCCTTTCCTGGCTTCTGCTTGACTTTGGGGTGACTGGGGATTCCACTCAATCCTATTGCTTTTGGCAGCAACTCCAGTTTGTAATAGAATGGAGGCAGGCAAGCATAGGGAATAGCTTGTCACCTGGGATTTTACTTGGCTTGGACTATGTGCTCAACCCTCTTGTAAAAAATGTACTTGGTAATCCAAGACCGTACCTGCATTGAGCTGCACATTCATTCAGCTCCAAACAGTAGAATGTATTTACCTCCTAACAATCATCAATAACTCCCCATTTACGTCCCTGTGGGATGGCTCAGCAGCTAAAGTTGTTTGCCACGAAGGGTGACAACCTGAGTTTGATCCCAGGACCTACATAGTAAGAGTAAGCTGACTTCTGAAAGCTTCTCTCTGACTTCCATATGCACACTGGAATGTGTGTGCCTACACACACACACACCAAGAAAAACAACAACAAGAACCATACACAGAAAAAATATTTCTTTTGTGAATAGTTTCTATTCAAATATATGCCTAGATATATCAGATACTAGACCGATGCAGACGTAACTGGCTTTGGGCCCATACTTAGTAAGACAAACTGCATCCTCCGGTAAAAGACCCGATTACCATCTTCTGCTTGAGTGTAATTGGATGTGCATATGGTTAAAATCAGATGCATCATGGGGAGGGACAAGCAGGGCAGGAAAAGGTTACAGAACCTAAACCTGTCAATCAACATAGAGAATCACTCTTCATAAGCCCCCTGGAAACCAGCTAATCTTTCCCTTGAACCCCATAAAGGGCAACCCTAAACAATAACCAGGGCCCTTCAATATTCTCCCACTGGGGCAGCCAGCAGCTCACTTGCAGCAAAGCTACCTGTCCTCTCCCTTTGTTCTTGAAGAAAGGTTCCTTGTTGCCTTGCAATTGCTGTGCGCCTTTATTTCAGTTTCTGGAACAAGACACCAAGAACCTGGAAACACCTGGTCTAGACACTGACCACAGGTGACTGAATCATTTTACATGTCAGAACAGCAGGCTGAGAGCTTGGGCTGGGGCCCTCCCTGGGCCTTTGGTGGCAGCACAGCCTCTGAGGAGTGGAAATCAGCAGCTGGGTGGGTCTCTGCAGCCACAGGCATGAGTGCAACCCTGGCAGTTTGGGCTCCTGAGGACCAGTGCCCATAGCCAGGTCCTTCCAAGGATCTTGGAGGATGTCTGCCCAGTTAGTTGTCAGGTATATCCCAGCAGGAACAAGATGCCAACTTGGGAGAGCCACAGTTGGATGTGAATGCCCAGCCTGTCTGGGGAATAGTGAAGTGGCCACCCCACTGGTCCAGACGGTCCAGCAGGGCAGTCAGCCCAGCATCCTCTGGCCCTTGTGCTCTCCTACAGGATGGGTTGTGCAGCCAGTCTTGGATGCTCTGGTCTAGATGACCCTTGGGTTTCTGCACAGTCCAAGGTGTGAGGTATTACATCACTTAGTTAACCAGGAAGCCTGATCTCCCCCACTCCCGTTTTTACTACATGGTCTCACTTGGTTATCCAGGCTTGTATCAAGTTCTATGTTTAAGCAATCCTCTTCTTCCAAGGCCAGGATGACATGTGTCTGCTAGTGTATTTGGCCATCTGATTTCTGATCTGGGGGTGACCTGGGCCCCAGATACCTTTTCACCCAGAAGAATGTATTAGCTATTTTTCCTGTTTCTGTGACGAGATAGCCTAAGAAATTCAACTTAAGGAAAAGATGGGGCGTTTTGGTCCATAACTCGAGGCAGGGAAGCCATGGCGGCAGGAGTTCCGGGTGGCTGGTCCTATCACATTGACAGCCAGGAAACAGCAATAAAACGTTAGTTCTCAGCTCTGTTCCTCCATTTTATTCAGTCCTGGAACCCAGTACAGGTGGCTACCCACTTTTAGGGTGAGTCTCCCCACCTCAATTACCCTAACCAAGGTAACCCCTCCAGGCATGCTCAGAGCTGACCTAACCTAGACAGTTCCTCACAGGTGTTCCTGGAGGCCTGCCTCCAAGTAGACTCCCCTCAAGTTGACTATCAGTGTTAGCCATGACAGAGAGTGGCTCAGCCTGTTGCCACTCCCCGTGTGTCCATGCTGGGGCATCAGGAAGTCAGGGGACATGTGCTCGTTGTCTGAGACGTGAGCCAGGTGTCTGGATGTAGAAGTTGGACTCAGCAAGTCACCACCATGAGCAGCACTGCGGCAGGCCCTTGCAGGGCCAAAGCCTGCACTAAGCCACCGTGACCCTAGGTGTGCTTGCCACTGCGTTCTCATCTCCCCTGACTGACACAGAAGGTACTGAGCAAACAAACATCCACGTAGCCCTCACTGTGCTCCTCTCTCACCTGTGATAGGAGTTTGAAGGCCTCAGCTTTACAGAGGGGCTGGAGAGATGGAGTCCCTGGGAGCCACCATAGTGGGCATGCAACAGGACAGGGCATCAAGCCCAGCACCATTCAATTCTTAGATGTTTCCTTCTAGCCAGGATCCCTGCGAGCCCGGCCCACCAGGCCATGGCATAGTGTAAGATAGTTCTGGGCGATATGCAAATGAGGAAGCTGAGATGTAACTAGTCTGAATTTATATGAATAGAGTAAACATACAAACCGCACCTCAAACCAGCTATTTCACGCCTGTTATTTTATTAGGAGGAGGAAGTTCTAAGATACAAGTTGTTTCAGAGTTGTCGAGGTGGGAGGTGGAGGAATTAGAGAGGTTATATACGCTGGGAGGCGGCTCAGCAGGTAAAGCACTCAACATGCAAACATGAAGACCTGAGTTCAAATCCCCAGCACTCATTTAAAAGCTGGACATGTGTGTGCCTGTAACCCCAGGACTAGGTATGAGATGCAGAGACAGGCGGATCCCCTGGGACTTGCCATCCAGCCAGGTTAGATGCATGGGTGAGCGCCAGGTTCACTGAGAGACCCTGTGTCTTAGTCACTGTTCTATGGCTGTGATAAGACACTATGACCAAGGAAACTCATTTAAGAGAAAGCATTTAATTGGGGGCTTGTTCACAGTTTCCATTTTAGTCCACTGTCATCATGGTAAGGGTGGGCATGGTGGGCATGGAGGCACGGTGCGGGTGGGCAAGGTGTTGAAGAAGTAGTTGAGAACTGTATCCTGATCTGCAGGCAGAGAGAGAGAGAGAGAAAGAGAGAGAGAGAGAGAGAGAGCACACACACAGAGGACTTGTGGGCTTTTGAAACCTCAAAGTCCACCCTCAATGACACATTTCCCTCAAATAGGCACACCTACTCCAACAAGGCCACGCCCACTCCAACAAGACCATACCTCCTAATCCTTCTAATCCTTTTACACAGTTCCACTCCCTGGTGACTAAACATTCAAATAGATGAACCTATGGCAGCCATTCTTGTTCAAACCATCACACACAGTCTCAAAAACAAAGGTGGAGCATGATAGAGGAAGGACACCTCATGCTGAATTCGATCTTCCACACACACATGCACATATAATACACATGAACACATGTGAACTCACACACACAGAGTAGAACACACACCTGTGGGCTCAGCACTTGAAAAGCTGGGGCAGGGGGATCTCTGTGAGTTGGAGGTCATCCTGCACTAGAGGGTGAGACTCTAGGAAAAAAGTAATGAAGATTTATTTTGGGATTGAGCAACACAGTCAGTGATGGGCAGTGAGTGCAGGGGTGGGGGCAGGCTTCCTGGGCTGAGACAGGAGACAGCCATCTGTTGGAGGAACGTGCTGGGCCTACATGTGAGCACTGGAGAGGGAGTCCTGAGTCGTACTTTGGCAGTGGCAAGCACTGGATTCTCTGAGCACCTTAGATTTCTGGGAGGCTATCGGGCATGGAAAGGAAGCACACAGAGCTCCTGATTTTGAGGCCAGGGAAAATGTTTCACAGTTTCAAAACACAAATATTTCTTTTTCTGTCCTCAATGTATAGGCTGAAGTTCCAGGTGCACCCGACTGTTGGCCCCATGCAGGAATGTGAAAACCGGCCTTCTCTCTGCGACCCTCGCCATTCCTGAAAGCCTACCTGTGGCATATTTTGGGACTCTGTTAACTAGGGGAGCGACACAGAGAAGGCGCCTGTGCTGCTTCTGGGGGCACAGACCGGCCATTCAGAAGAAGCTGAAAGGGCGGCTTCATGGGCCCAGCTGGGCCCAGCAACAGGCTCTGTCCCCTGAGCCGCAGGATGAGTGCCCGCTCAAATCTCCCTGTCCACCCTGCCAAGAGCCCGAGCGTGCACCTCTCACTGAGACCACCATCGCTGTCGCCATCGCTACCCCTCATGTGACCTAAATGGGACCGCACTCATCACCACATTAGTTAACAAACATCTTTGTTTATCACTGTCCCTGGGCTTCGGGGATGGGAGAGGAACTGAGCCAAAAAGGACCCCCATGCCGAGGTGGCGAGGACAGCCACACAGCACAGTTTGGGAGACAGGATATCTGCTGCAGTTTCTGGGGACTGTGCAGACCCCTCCCCCAGGGAGTGGAAGGGAGGTGTCAGCAGTGCGGATGCCTCTGGGTTGGCAGAGGCGTGGAGGGCTGAGAATTGGGGTCAGATGAAACCAAATGTGAGAAGGCAAAGGGAACAATTTTTCTTTAACATAGCCACAAAGGGGAAGATGTCTTCACTCTGCCCTTGAACCGGCTGGGTAGCTTCAGGCTAGTCGTTGAACCTCTCTGGGCCTCAGTTGTGGCATACGGCAACTGGGCTGATAGACTGCCTGACAGGTCTGTGATCGCACACACAGAAGACTGGCACACAGGAGGGTGGTACGTGGTCGTCATGACAGTGTAGGGGTGATGCCATGGTCGCTGAAGATGCAGTCGTGGACTAGGTCAGCTGTGCCTGGGGATCTTCTCTGAAACCAGTGAAGGGCAACAGTGGCATTCCCCTGCCTCATCTTCCTCCTCCTGTCTTCTCATTGCCTCCCGATGTGATCCCGCATGGCTGGTTCTGTTGTGAGGGTGAAGAGGATTAGCAAAGATAGTTCAGATCATCCCTCAGTCTCCCTAGCTAGCTCTGGCAGACAGCACTGGCACTGTCCCCACTTCCAGAAGAGGTATGAGGCACAGAGGGGTGCAGCAAGTTGCCTGAGGTCACACCAGCAGATGCTCTGGCTCCCATATCTGCCGTTACCCACCCCGTGTGCTGCCTTGCACACGCTAAACATGGCTGTGCTAGTCACAGTCTGGGAGAATTGTACTGGGACGAAGTTAGTGAGAAGGAAGTGCTGGGCAGATAGCCCTGCTCAGCCCAGCCAGCGGCCTCTGGGAAGAAGGTGTGCGCAGTGAGGAGTCTAGGGAGCAGGCTGAGTGAGGAAACCGGGTTGGGGATTGTGGGTGAGGAGGACGTAGGAATGAGGGGCAGTGCAGGGCAAGGGCTCGAGTGTCCCTGGGTGGTAGGTCCAAGTCAGCACGGGCTCCGGCCAAAGCGGCCTCCCCACCCACCTGAGATTTCCTGAATTCCAGTTGTGGCTTGAGTTGCTTCTGCAGGCAAAGGGGCTCTTGTGGCCAACTGCTTCCTCCCTCCCTTTCCAGGGACACACACCTCCATTCAGCCTGGCCCCGCCCCTGGGGGTTGGGGCAGGGGTGCTGTCCCCTGCCCAGTGGGTTGATAAGACGGGTCCCTCTGGCCCCTCCGGTGTGCCACTGCTGTCCCCGTTGCCGCAACCATGAAAGTCCCCCCTGGCCCAGTCTTTGCTCTCTGTGGCCTGCTGCTGCTGCTGCTGCTGCTACAGGTCCCTGGGAGCCATGGCCTCGTCCCTCAGCCCCAAGGTAAGGGGACCATGGATAAGGGGGATGCTGGATCCACGACCTCTGACAAACGGTGTGAGAAGCTGAGCACAGACACAGATGGAGGCTAAATGGGAATAATGGGTTTGGGGGTGTCAGTGTAGGAATGACAGTGGGGATAATTGTGTCAGTGAGGGCTGGGGCAGGTGACCCTCAGGGCCACACATGCCGCGGGGACCAGGAACCTCCAAAGAGCCAGCCAGAGTTGGGAGCAGTGCTGGGCTCAGGGCTCTGTGAGTGCAAGTTTGGAGACCAGGTGTCTGTTCAGCTTCCATCCTTCCTTCTGGAGCTGTGCAGTGCTCTGGCAGCTCTCAGGTGCTCAGCCGTTCCAGTACAGATGGGGAAGCTGAGGCTGTAAGAGGAGGACCTGCCTCAGCTTGGCCTGTGAAATAGCCCCAGAGCCACGAGGGGTCAGGTCCACTAGGAGGCTGGGATATGGCTAACTCTGTCTCTGGACCCGTGTCCACCCATTTGGAGGCTGAGCTGGCAGGGAGCAGGCTGTCAATCATGAAGAACCGGTGGCACATCTCTCGTTTTCTGGTCCCTTGTGTCCTTAGGGAATGGACTTGTTTCTGTGAGGCAGGGGCTGGACAGGGCAGTGTGTCACAGAGCCCATTTCGGTTGCAGAACCAAGACATCTGGCCCTCAGCTTCATCTCCCTCTTCACAGATGGGAAATGAGGTTCAAAAAGTGCTGCCCCTGCCCCGGGGTCACAGAGCAGCCGAACCAGGGACTGAACCCAGGCCCGCCTCCTTCCACCACTGGCACTCGCGGTCACTGGTGCTGCCTTGGGGTCTGGAGGGATACTGTTCCTCGGGGTGTCTTGGGGCCACTTGGCCAGAATGACAAGGTGCCTCTAGGAATTGCTGCTCCTTCCTTGTCCTGGGAAGGAAGTGGCTCTAAATAGCCCGTGCCCACCCAGGAGGCTGCCCAACCTTCTGCCAGCAAGTCCCGCTGGCCTCCATGCATCTTTGCTTGTTTTCGGAGGATTCTGCAACAAGCGGGATTAGCCCGCTGCTCAGATAAGGAAGGCTCAAGAGGGAATGTGTGGCCCAAGATGAGAGGGGTCTCCTGTCTTTCTCCCCACGGGCTGAGCCGCCTGCCTGAGACTACACACTGAGCTGAGGTTCTAGCAGGACCACTGAGGCCCACCCTGACCTCCCTGGAGTCCGAGGCTACTCCTCTAACATCTTCTCCTTCTCTCTGCTTTCTCCCGCCCTGCACCTCCCAGGGCACCTCTGCCGGACACGCCCCACGGACCTGGTGTTTGTTGTTGATAGTTCCCGCAGCGTGAGACCCGTGGAGTTTGAGAAGGTGAAGGTGTTCCTGTCTCAGGTCATCGAGTCACTGGATGTGGGGCCCAATGCCACTCGAGTAGGCTTGATCAACTATGCTAGCACTGTCAAGCCCGAGTTCCCACTTCGGGCCCACGGCTCCAAGGCCTCGCTGCTGCAAGCTGTGCGCCGCATCCAGCCGCTGTCCACGGGCACCATGACTGGCCTGGCTCTGCAATACGCCATCACCAAGGCCTTGAGTGATACTGAGGGTGGGCGTACCAAATCCCCCGACATCAGTAAGGTACGGAGCATTGACTAATTGCAGCAGGATTCAGGGTTGATGCCATAGAGTTCTCCAGGCCTCTCTGTTCAGTGTTCCCTGGTGTCTTCCTGTGGGGCAGCTGTTTACAGGGATGGAAGGTCATTACAAACACCACCCCGTGGAAGTGGCAGAGCTAGGGTTGGGATTTTCTTTGAAGTGGAGAAAGGCAGGCCAGGTGGGGACAGTAAAGTCTCAGCAGCCCCGATGCCACACGGCCACTCCGGATACACTACTTTTAAGCACTGTTTCTCAGTTTCCCCACCCATGAATCGTAATACTGATAATCGCTCTTGCAGCTTGGCTCAACAAGGTGCCTGGTACCCAGCATGCCCTACATGGCATCCATGTAATTGTCAGCCTGTGCTTGGGAAGGTGAGACAGTCCCTGGAGTCACCATCACAGAGGGCCCCAGGAGTGTGCTGAGCACACACAGGCTTTCTGCCCACATTGTCCTTTCTCTGAGTTTGTCCCCATGTCGGCTTTTGTTGGCTTGAGAAGTCACCATTTCCCTGTCCAGGTCCAGGGAGTAGCCCCTTCCTCACTCTCTGTTGCCCACTTTCTTGCTCACTGTAGACCATTGCTGATAGCTCCATTGTATACACCAGGAAAACGGTACAGAAAGCTTCAGCAGTGTGTCCAAATTCTCAACGGCAGGAGTGTTCAGGGACTGTGACACACAATCCCAGCCATCCCCAGTCCCCAGAGAAGTGACACCAGATGCTGGTGGTCTACTTTGTAGATGCTGCTCAAAAGATTTATCATGAGGTACAGGAGCTGGGACCGACGGCCATGCTTAGAGGCTGGGGTAACTCCAGGGGATGCTGATGGGGAGAGAAGGTGACCCGTGCTACCTGCAGCCTGCACATCTCTAGAGTTAACTGGTCCCCTAGAGCAGACTGGTGGCCTCAGAGGAATGATGAGGACACTACTCTCCCAGGGGGGTTGCTGGGGGTGGACACCTGGTGGGACCTTTAGAAGTCTCAAGGTTGGGTAGAAGCTAGAAACCACAGCGGTTGGGTGGAGTGTGACACCTCAGAGTCACAGCTAGGTCCCCGAGGGGAGGAACGTGCAGAATCACTTCCCAGGGGACGGAGTGATGGTTCTGAAATAGCTGTTGATCCTTTGGGGCTCCTGCAGGTGACTCATCTCACTCCCTCCGGCCCCATGCCTTTCACAGAGTCAGAGACCCCGAGTAAGCAAAGAGGGACGCAGGGAAGGAGCCCCATTTCTGGCTCAGACCTGCCTTAACTACTTCACAGTCAGGCACCAGGACACTGCCAGGCTTGGAGCCCCTCTTCTTAAGGCAGGGAGCAAGGGCATGGGGGAGGGGGAGGGGAGCAGTCGGCAGGCTCTTCTTCCCTGTGAGGGGTAGGTGTCATCCTGGGCAGTGGAGGAGGACAAAAGGGCATTTCCCTATAGTGGGTCGGTTCTCTTTATTTGGGGGGCGTTGATTTTCCTTTGAGCCCTAAGCAACACAGCTATAGCCTGGAGGTGCCTCATCTTCATTTATGAGACTCGGCTTCCCTCTGGTGGTCATTATGCAGAATTGTAAGGGGTTAGTTTCTTGCCTGGGCATTTTCTCCCACGCTGACCACGGGGAACTCAGGGAGACCAGAAGCCACAGTCACCAGGGCGTGGTTCTCGGCATCTGGAGGCCCCAGAAAGCTTGAGTGTGAGGAAGACACATGGCGGTGTTTTCAAAGTTTCTGTTTGTTCTCAGGAGGTGGGACCCCAGGGCCCCAGAGCTTTCTGCCTGATGGAGGTGACTCCAGAGACTGGTGTCAGAAGGGAGACACCTCAGCCCTCATCTCCCACAGTCAGAAAAAGTCTGTAGCCTCCATGGCTAGTGGGATCTCTTTTCTGATGTGTGTGTGTGTGTGTGTGTGTGTGTGTGTGTGTGTGTGTGTGCGTGTGCGCGCGCGCGAACATGTCGACTGCCCCCAGTTCTGTGCCTCTTGGCGAATTCCGGTGCCTTTCAGACTCGTCTTGAGGGTTTGTTGGAACCGGTCCTCACATGCTTCTGCGTGCAGGTTATCATCGTGGTGACTGATGGGAGACCCCAGGACAGCGTGAGGGACGTGTCTGCGCGCGCGCGGGCCAGCGGCATCGAGCTGTTCGCTATCGGCGTGGGCCGCGTGGACAAGGCCACGCTGCGACAGATTGCCAGCGAGCCTCAGGACGAGCACGTGGATTACGTGGAGAGCTACAATGTCATTGAGAAGCTGTCTAAGAAGTTCCAGGAGGCCTTCTGCGGTGAGCGTCCGGGAGGGGCGGGGCCGAGAAGACCTGGGGGCGTGGCCTGGATAGAGGTTGGATTGAAGAAAAGGTTAAGAGTCAACACGGGTTGACTAGCTCTGGGCACCATGAAATTGGATGGAGCTGATCTCAGAGCCCGGCCTGGGATGGTGGAGATGGGGTGAAGCAAGGGTGGAGATAGAGAATAAACGTGGGAGGGCGAGTCTGGGGGCAGAGCACAGCAGCAGTGCAGAGTGAGCACTGGGAGGGACTAGTCCAAGGGGTGGGACTGGGACAGGGGACAGGCTGAGATCAAAGAGCCAGGCTGGGTAGTGTTAAGGACTGTTAGCATCAGTATCAGGGTGAGGCCAAGGGTAAGGCCTCCATGACTTAGGAGTGGAACTCAGAATAGGTTGAGGTACATCCAGGCTTGACCAATAATGGGGGGAGGTGTTTCCAGATTTTGGAAGTACCCCAGCCTGAAGTTCAAGACCCTTTTTATAGGATGACTTTACAGGGACCAAGGGTGGGCTTGAACCCATTAGGGGAGAATTTTAAAAACAAAACAACAAAACCAGACCAAACCCAACCTACCAGGTAGATCTCAGCACCAAAGGTTTCCATGATACAGGAGGGTCCAGGGGCCTGGGAAGGTTTTGAGTCCTTTGTGGAGGGGAGATGAGGATTTCTTGGGGATGTGACTGTCACAAGGCGCAGAATTGGACCAGGGATGAGGCTGGGGCCCACTCTTCCCCATGTAGGTAATGGGGTTCAGAACCTGTTCCTTACTGTGAGGTTTGAGTGAGACATCCAAGGCACAGCACTAGCTCCCAGCTTGCAACAACTTTTTGATCATGGGATTGGTGTGTTCTGTGCTTATTGTCATATGAGCTGTAGAGACTCAGCTATAGGAGTGGAGAAAACATACAAGAGGCCCTGCCCCCATGGCCTCTACCATTGCACGGGGCTTTATCCCCTTCTTTGGGGACCCTGACTCTGGCTAAGCACTGCCATCCTGAGTTGAGAGTGTGGGAACTGGGCTCTATCCAGTTTGGGTTGCGTGTGTCTCAGTTTCCTTGAATGTGCCGGGGTCGGGTCTTTATGGACAGGGAGGAGCATTTCGGCTGAGATGAGCAAGCATTTGTGAGTGTGATATCTGAGCCTCCCCTTGTCTTCCCAGTGGTGTCAGACCTGTGTGCCACAGGGGACCATGACTGTGAGCAGGTGTGCGTCAGTTCTCCAGGCTCCTACACCTGTGCCTGCCATGAGGGCTTCACCCTGAACAGTGACGGCAAGACCTGCAATGGTCAGTGGATGGACCTGGGAGAACCCTAGGGAGGGAGGTGGGAGATGGTCCTGCTTCCCAGGACACCCATCCGAGACATTGTATTCTCTGTTTCTGGACTGATCTACAAAGTAGGCAGATGCTTTCTAGAGCCTCTTAACTGTGTGGGAGGTTCCCTTCCAACTTTTGACTCCCTCCATCGCAGTAGGTACGGTGTGTTGAGGTAGGGCAAGGCACAGATCCTGAGCTGATGTCTGGGTGTCACCGGTTTTGAGCTGTGTGATTTCTCAGCTGTTTCTGATGCTGTAAAATGCGGCCAGGAACTCTGGCGTTGTAGAGGGAAGCCTGAGATACAGAGAGGGTGACCCCTGAGTCCAGAGCTTGCACACAGTGGAGTGGCCAGGCGAAGGCGGCAATGGATGACCATCTCCTCAAGCGTCACCCTCCTGTCACTGTGCTCTCTTCAGTCTGCAGTGGCGGGGGGAGTGGCTCAGCCACCGACCTGGTCTTCCTCATTGATGGGTCCAAGAGCGTGCGGCCTGAGAACTTTGAGCTGGTGAAGAAATTCATCAACCAGATTGTGGACACCCTGGATGTGTCGGACAGGCTGGCCCAGGTGGGGCTGGTGCAGTACTCGAGCTCGATACGTCAGGAGTTCCCGCTTGGCCGCTTCCACACCAAGAAGGACATCAAGGCGGCTGTGAGGAACATGTCCTACATGGAGAAGGGCACCATGACTGGCGCTGCCCTTAAGTATCTCATAGACAATTCCTTCACTGTGTCCAGCGGGGCAAGGCCTGGTGCCCAGAAGGTGGGCATTGTCTTCACTGACGGCAGGAGCCAGGACTATATTAATGATGCTGCCAGGAAGGCCAAGGACCTCGGTATGTGTTTCCTGCCTGGCTTCTGGACCCCACTGATGGCCAGGGATTCCCATAGGCACAGTTCTACTGCAGCTTGCTCTGTGACTTCTGATTAATGTTTTAAACCCAGATGACTTCTAGGTGTCTGCTAGATCAATTCTCTCTTATACCCATGACAAAACTGAGGCTCTGGAGGACGGGGTGGCTTGTTCTATAGTCCCTTTGTTGCTGAGACTTTCATCCTTCCCAGCTGTAGTAATATCAACAATAACCTGGAAAGGAGAATAACAAAGGTTTATTTATTTGGGGATAAACTCACAGTAAGGGTAGCCATCCACAATCCTCTGCAAGCACTGGGAACTGGAACCGAACCCAGCAGATAAAGCTGGTCGCACATGTTTTTTAATCTGTGCTTATAGTACACGGGACCACGCCCAAGTGCGCTGGTATCTTAAAGGTTACTGGCTGAAGGATTTCCCACAACACCCAGCAGAAAGTCGGTTCCCAAGAATACACCAACTGTTGGGAAACAAACCCTCTTTAAGACAGGTTATACCATTTTAACCAAACAAGGAAAATACTAACCATCAGGCAGATGCTTTGAGGGTCAGATGATGCTCGCAGTATAAACATCACTGAACACATAGCAGAACCTCAGCCAACATGGTAGATTTATTTGTTCTTGTTGCAGACACTGTGCCTGCAATTCCAGCAACTGCCACCAGGAAGTGTCTTGTGTAGACAGTCT